CACCATGTTCCCTCAGATGGATATTCTTCGAGCTTATCACCACATTCCTATTCATTTTGATGACGTTTAGAAAACTACGATCACTACACCATTCGGCCTGTTTGAATTTTTACGCTTGCCTTGTGGCTTCCGAAATGCTGCTTAGACGTTTCAACGCCTTATAGGCCAAGTGCTCTCGGGTTTACCGTCCGTATTTGCATACCTGGACGATATCTTGGTCGCTGCAGTTAATGCTAAGCAACAACTTGAACATTTACGTCTATTATTTAATCGATTGCGCGAACACGGTATTGTCCTTATTTCTCAAACATGCAACTTCGGATCGCCTTTGTTAAACTTTCTTGACCATACGATCACCCGCGTCAGATAAGCTGAATAATATGCGCAATTTGGCTCTTCCTACTTCATGTAAACAGCTTAAACGTTTCTTAGGAATGATCAATTGCTACGGGCGATTTATTCCCAAAGCTGCATCATTGCTAGCATCAATTACAAGTTTTTTTATCTGGAAATCCGAAACAGTTTCAATTGAGAGATTCTCCTGTGTCTGCCTTTGAGAAAATTAAGACTTCTTTGGTTGGTTCCCACAAATTATTGCACTTGCAGCCCAATACCTTCTTATCACTTAATGTTGACTCCTCTAGTGGCGAAGTAGGTGCTCTTTTGCTACAGGCAATCGATAATGTGCATCAACCGCTCGCATTCTTTTCACATAAACGTACACACACTGAGTCGAGTTACAGTACTTTTGGTATATAATCAGTAACCATATACTTATCCATTCTCCATTGCCGTCATCTTTGGCATCTATACTGAGTATAAGCCCTTAACCACAACTCTACTAGCTAAACCCGATAAGTATTCTTCTCGTGAAATTCGCCAACTCGATTTCATCTCTCAATCCACCAATAATATTCGACATGTATCCGGAGATTCGAACATTGTGGCAGACACTGTTATCTCGTCCATCACTCGATGCACACTATTCTACGCCAACCATTGACTTAAGTCACATGGCCAAGCTTCAGAAAGATGATCCGACTCTTCTGCCATCATGCACTAAGCACTTATCATTACATATCAAACCACTGACACTGTTACGAAGGAATACGCGATGCGAAGAAGCCAGAACCCCATCGCCACGGCAGGCGATCCAAACTCACCTATCCTATTGGGGCAAACTTAGAGCCAATCGAGAGAAGCTGCCAATTAACATGAGGGCGGCGTTCGTTGATTTGCTGTAAGTTGACCTTACCAGAGCTTTCCACCTGCGCTTTAAAGACCATTCACGAACTTTCCATTTCACCTTTATTGTTAACGGTGTGATTCGTAATAGATCCCAGTTGCTCTGTTCGTCCGATCCGGTCTTCTTTCTGTCCTGTGGGGGGTCAGCAACTTCGGGTTTTGCTTGGGAATCAAGCGTCCATTCAGACGAGGGACGAACACTTCAGATACCATCAAGTGTGATGTCTCTACAGAAGTTCCATAACCTGTTGTCCCACATGCAATGCGACGGTTTTTTAACACTCTACATAACCTCTTACACCCCGGGTATACGTTCAACCGTAAAACTCATTTCCCAAGGTTTTGTACGGCCGAATATGAACAAAGACAAGTTCCTGGGTAAAAACCTGCCTCGTATGTCAACGTCCAAAAGCAATTCAATCTATCCGCTCACTTATTGCACATTTGCTAATCCAGACTGCCGCTTCGATCCTGTTCATTTCGACATAGTCTGCCCTCTCCCAATATATGATGGTTTCTCCGACCTCCTCATTTGTGTCGATAGATTCACCCAACGGCCGTAACCGAATCCTATCACTAACACTTCTGCCGAGACTATATCCCGAGCATTTCATAGTGGCTGAATCGCCGCTTACGGGGCCCCTTCTTTCATAAACACTGACCGCGGATCTCAATGTGAATCTCAATTCTTTCGACGTCTCACCGAACTACTGCGATGCAAAAGCATTCGAACCATTGCATATCATCCTCAGGCAAACGGTCTAGTCGAACGATTTCATCAAGACTTAAAGATTTCCTTACGAGTACAGAACATCCCTCTTAAATGATTCCATCAACTACCCCTGATTCTTCTGCACTTGCGAACAATGTTGTTTCGCTCCTCCCTACATTATTCACCAGCGGAGTTAGTTTTTGACACAACTCTCCGAATCCCAGGTCAATCATTTTTAAGTGCAGACTCCCAGTCTTCTACCGACCAAGCCACTTATGTAACTCGCTTAAAAGTCCACATGTCTCGACTATGCCATCGACCGAAAACGCACAAGGCGTCTTATACTGCACCAGACGTTGCAACTTGTTCCCATATTTTTATACCTTCCGATCGTGTCAAACCACCACTACAACCATCATATGATGGCCATTTTCGTCTTCTTCACCTTTCCGAGCAACAACTCACTGGTCAGTCACCCAATAAACCTGCTACGGTATCCATTGATTGTCTTAAAGAAGCCTACACAACCCTCATGGAATCCGGCACCCCTCACATCCTTTAAACACCTCACCCACGAGTACATCACAGCCAAAACAGTAAACAACAATTACCACTCAGTCTGGTCGTAAAGTACAGTGGCCAGACTGTTACACACCAGTGAAATTCACATTTTCGGGGAGGAGAATATTTGTAGAGGCCTCACCGTAATTGCCGAAGCCGACCATTAGAAATGCCAATTGATCAGTGGACTACTGACTTCGGTCACACAAACTGATATCAATTCACACATCCATGACGAGCACTCAAAGTTCAGCACTGGACTGTAAAATTCAAAATCAAACGCAATTCACACACGCGCGCTCTCGTGCTCACGTGTGTAATTGTGGATATAGCGCACAACTCTATCAAGGCTTTATGTGTGGGACAACCGCGCACCGGAACGCAGGCTTTGCCTAAACAACGGATTATCCAGTGAACCATGGATAAGTCAGACATTATCTTGTTCTTGTTGTGTTCATTCACAAACTTTACTTTACACAAATCACACACATCGTTTATACACAGCTTAGTATTATTAACTTGTTCCTTCTAATCACGTCACATACATAGAAAACGCGCTAATAGTTGAACCTGCCTTCGGTTAGTAAACACGTTTGTTAAAAATGCAGCAACGACAGAATGAGAAGGGACAGGCCTACAATGTCTTAACTTCTGACATGGTCTTCTCTTTCAACTTTAAACTAGGTAGCTGTTCCAACAGATTGGAGTACCTGCATTCGCGTTTCATGCATAGACTGCAACATGATTACTACGACCTGTCTGCTTCGCTTTACGTTACGCAAATGGCGCAGTTTTGTCATCGATTGATCTATGCGACACCGCTTAAGAGGTATGCAATGATCGACTCACTTCCATCCTTGCTTCTGGATGGTTTCCTTGTTATATATCTACGAACTGTTTCTTTTAGGAGCTGCAGTGCGTGCATGCTTGATCAGAATTGTCAATATATTCAGTTGGTTACTTCCTTGTATTTATGTTTCTTCTCACGTGTCACCTGTCATCGGTCTCTCCACAAAACTTCACGTTACAGCTGCGTAGAGAGAGCAAGCCTACTCACTAGACAAACGTAAGCTCTAGTTTGTAGAACCAAGGTCGATGAGAAAGTTCAACTGTACTGCTAAACCATCTTTTTGGAATCCTAATTGTAAAAGTAATGAAACAATAAACCTGCAAGCAATTGAAACAACTAGCGAAAATAAAAAGCTAGTAAATCCATTTGTCGTTCAAGCAGTTTCCTGGAAGCTCGGATTGTAGTTGCTGGCGACAAATGAATGCATATATGCATGTAATTATGTGCAATTAAAGGCTCCCTGTGCTCTAGCTATAAATGAATGATGCAATAAATTTTGCGGTGAGCATCTGAGATGCCCGGAAAAAGCGTTGAATGACTTTAACACTCGCAATTAACACACGGTGTAACATTAAGCATGAATAGCTTTGAGGTACAATAAGGTAATAATTTGTGTTAGCATTTTACATGAGGAACTCGCGCACAGTGTGGTAACCTCCCGACTGCTTCACCTTAAGCAGTATGAGAAAAGACAAGGCAGACCGTAGACTAGCTTTGAGCATTCCTGACCACCTCCCAAATTGATTGCGCCAAGCGTTATCACAACGGAATTGTGCCGGTCAGTAGCAATATAGAAACCATATCTCGGATATCGCGACTCGACATTGTCTGTACGGAATATCGTTACACGACTGGAAACTCAAAAGATTACCGCTCACCGAAGCTTTAGTTATCGGGAAGTATCGTCCTGTATTTCGTGCTCAGAAACGACTATGTCAGTATTTTATTTTGCGGCGGTTGAGGAAGCTACAGGCGCCGACGGGATGTACTCCATCGACGTCGGACGCATGGGGTTGTAGCACATGCGGCCGAAAGTGCTTGAGTCAGGCAGGCCTATGGAGTCACGAGCGAGGCCACCTATCAAAAAGACGACGTGTGCTGCTGAGAAGGTAAGCAAAGCCGGCGCAGCGTTGGTACGTACGTTGCATTCGATTAACTAACGTCGTGTTTACGTGCTGAGTTAATTTATTTCAGGTGGTTTGTTTGCTGTATTTTGTTAATACTTTGTTAGCTCCTTTTAATATCTATCTGGATAATCTTCCATTTACTTACACACGTCGCTTAAACAAAAGTTGGTTATTTTCTTTAAAATTATTCGTGTTTGTCCCATTTTTTCTCTCGTTCTGCCATCTCGTATTTATCGCGTATTTGTTGAGAACACATTTCACACGCTAATTTAGCGATGAGTTATGTTGGCATGCTTTATTCGATTGGTTTTATTTGCTTACGTCATTTCAAGTGATTGGCTGTTGCTTGCCCCCCCCCCCCGCCCGGTTTGGCTGCGCCTGATGTGAATGTAGACAAGGTGCCTACCTGTCTATAACTAATCAACTCTTCTATACCGGCTCTAGGAGAGAGGTGGTCGTTGCTGGAGAGGACATTGTGGGCTGTCCTCGTATATATATATATATATATATATATATATATATATATATATACGAGTGGATTGTAGGTAGTCATTTATTTGCTGTATTTGGATTGACAGTGTCATCAAGGTCATCCTTTTGCAACACACAGTTATGAACCTTACGCGGATTGTAGACTAAGTTCCTTAACTTGGCACCGCGATGTAGCAAATGGGAAGCGACCCTAAGATATATGGGGCTAAGTATAGTTATGAATTTCAAATTGCACCGTTTCTCGGTGCAAGAACTAAATTTCTCCTCAAGCTGACAAACTAAAAGGCAGTTTCCAGAATTGTGTCTTATTTGATTTTCCTATTTTCTTCAGGTAAACTACAAGTGCAGTTAGAAGTTAGCTGTTGCGGAATCTTTCTTTTTGGTCACGAAACCTGGACGCGACATGTACACGCCGAAAGTTGCGTGCTCATGCAGTTTTCCAACGCTCCGTAGTGCTCTTATAAAGCTGTCAGATGTGCCACCTTCATTTCGACCAACAGATGGAAAGGAACTGAAAATGAGTACGTTAGCATTGCAATTTCTATAGCTATCTCTTACATAACACTCGAATTCATTGCTAAGATGAGATAGTTACAATGGCTATACGCGCTAATTGGCGTCGCTAATAATTTAAGTTTATTCATACTTTACATGCATGTTACTTTCATGATTTCTTACGGTGCAACAAGCTATTTGATCACATATCACACCTGCGTCAAATACCCCTGACCAATCTGCCGACTTTTCTGGAATATAATCGCTCTTGATCACTGCTAGCTTTCAGTGAATTGAAACGGAACCACCGCTTCAAAATATACCTAGGGAATCATCACATATCTGACAAAATAATATGGTCACCAGTATCAGTTTACAAAGACAAATCGGCAACACGCATCTTCGTTGCATCATACGCGAAGCGGATATCCGCCTTCTTACTAACCAGTGATTTGCAATTATGTTAGGGGTGATGCACGCCTTGCTTCATAAACATGCGTGCTACCACCAAGCAAAATGGAGGGTTAGACACCAAAAACACAATTACCTCTTGAAATTGCCGGTCAGTTTACGGTTCTGCAAGTCAACTAGGAGTTAAAGGACGTGTAGAAAATTTTGTGAAATACTGCCGTAACATTGACTTGTCTCTACGCACTGCCTGGTACCGAGTGCAACCCAGTCGGGGAAATCAAAAGAGACAACTTGGCTGACCAGAGATTAATTATGAGTGTTTATTTATGTCATACATACGCCATCGCACTGACATTTTGGCTGCAAGATTCCGCCCCCGTATGTCAAGTAAGTTTGAAGTCTGTCGCTTTGGCGCCCTGACTGGCACAGTTCCTACCAGACTTAACATCTCGGCCATTTGGTAGTCTGACACCGGAAAAGAATTCTTACATGTTGGGCCTCAGAAACCTTGCCACGACTCACACGACGCCTACACGTCTAACTTGGCGTTCGGTCCGGCCTCCAAAGCGGGCGGGGCTTTATTGAGTTAGCCGACACTTTGGCAAGCCTAACGGGCCCTTGCTTTCCGCTGTCAAAGAGCATCCCGGCAATTGGCCGTCGGCCTCTCCAACAGATTCGTCGCGGGCAGTCCCCACACGTTAGGAAAACTCGGACGGCCGCCTCATCATACTAGGTACTGACAACAGCGACTCTATTGTCCTTACCGGAAACGAACTGCGACTCTTACGAAGTGGAGAGTAAAAGGGGTTCACTGTGATGTTAAGGAGGTCGGTCGCTGCTATGCACAGTTGGACAGCCAACAAACATCCTGGAAAGCGCTAGATGGACGTTTCGTCGTCTGGGACTCGTCAGTAGTGCGCACCCAGCGGATCCTCCAGGATTCTAACCCATAAGCTTAACCTTACGAGCCAACGACGTAGGCCACTTACCCCCGGGTGACGCAGCGGGCCGATATAACTGATTTAATACTACAATATGGCAAAACTCACCCTCCAATGTCGTAGACGTAAAGGATATATAGGATGTTGCCATTACAAACCCCTTCGATGTTTGATTTCCTGCCCAAACATATTATTCCCGTCCTGTGATTAAAATCAGCACACCCAATGTCCAGTAGTTCCAAGCTTCGCATACTAACATATTTTATTACCCGTCCTGCGTTGGCTTTCCCATGAACTACAGGCACGCTTCACCTCACCAGTCCATAACCGTCCACTTTCGAGTACACTCTTGTTATGCACAGATTCTTTTTTGTTGACTACTTGTTTCTTCGCACATAATGTGATCTTCTGTTTAGCCTATCCTCTGCACCAGCGCATCTCTGACCCCATTGCTACATCCCATAAACCAACTGACCTGATCCCACTCCAGCGCTCTCCCAGGCCTTGTTCCGTTAGTGCAACCAAGCAACTCCGTCATTTCACTCGTCTCTTGAAACCCTGTGCATTGTGACATCATCAAACTTACAAACGTACAAACTTATCGTACCGCAATTGAAGCGGGTAGCTCACCAACTCTGTTTCGAACGTAGAGTGCTGAATACCTGGAACAACCTGCCGCAGCCGGTAATAGAGGCGAATTCAGTGGCTGAATTTAAGAAGCTTCTAGACAAACACTTTGTAGAGGCAAAATATAAAGAGCGGAACGATAATTAATACGTTAATGTCCAAGAGCGACAATTGATGCAGCTACACAGAGTATGCTCTACTCGCTGCTTCTAATCAGTATCAGTATCAATATCAGTATCCTGGTCGATCCGACGCCTAGCTTGATAACAAAGCATCGGTACTTGCCCTCGTACTTACAAATGAGCAACTCATAGTCGACAGGCCATTTGTAGAGACCCTCGTAGGGCTGGGCAATTATGTGACCTTACTTCACAACCATGTGTGTTACGCTGAACATCCGGAGAGGCACACAGAACTAACACGGATCACCACACATTACAACATCTTGAATGACCTGGCTGCGACGACTGATTGGGAATTGTTTTAAGGTGGCTCACCTGACAGTGCCTGAATTCAGTTTGTTGGACGCTTCAGCAATCTAATCGCAACTGCTCTAGAAACAAAGAGTTCGCTCCACCAATTCCTCGTCTTTCATCATAAGCAGAACCCGTAAGCGCATGTCAATAAGGTGTGGAACTTGGCTCACAGAGATCGTCCTAGTCCCGTAACCTGGATCGATTCCATTATCCAGCGCAACCATTTTAACATGCTTGTCCTTGAGGACAAATGGACCCACCAACAAGATTTGGCCTCTACCTTTGCCAACAACAAAAAGCACATATGGTTGGCGGCATCCGATTTCGGATTTGCCTGTCACTGTGGCAAGCCACAGGACGCCTGCGCCTACAGAGGGACCATGGATGGCTTGCGCTGCACCACCCACAGCTCCAACCACATACCCCATATCCAGTGTAAACCCGAAGGAATAAGACCTGGGAGGCATGCGGATGGGAACCACGTTTCATCAACGGAGCCGGCCCACACTCCTTCACAGGCAAACACAAGCACGCTGTATTTGGGGAATCAACCGCACACAAGGCGGTGGCTGGACCGTAGTCCGCTCCACACTGGGTGCATGGAACTGCTCTTTGAGCCTAACACGGCCACAAGAACCGTGCACCCCGTCCCCTCCAGCAACGACCAACTGTCTCCTGGAGCCAGTATGAACGATGTGGTGGGTAATAGACAGGTAGGTACCTTGTCAACATACACATCAAGCGCAACCATACCAGGGATATCAAACAACAGCCATTCAATTTAAACGACAAGCTGAAATAAAATAAATCCAATAATGCATACAGATACGGTGGCATAACTCTTCGCTAAATTACCATATGAAGTAAGTAAGCACATATACAAACATGTTAACACCATCCGGGTAGTGAAGCTCGGTATCCCTCAGTTAACACACCAGTCGGAGTGGTACAGAGTGCCGAAGAGGCCGTCAACGCCCTACGAATGAAGTATACACCAAACTTCCACCGAGACGTCGGCCAGTGTTACATACCCACATCCCAAGCGCCAATTTCAACACAGTAAAGTCTATTTTGCTGCCCCAGCTGTGTTGAAGAAACTGCTCTTACTACGCACCTACAGCTCTCCCGGAATCAGTAATATTCACCCAAGGGCACTGAACGTAGCAGCAACAATGCTGATCTGGCCATTATTGCATTTCTTCCAAACGTGATTGGATAAGCAAATTGTGCCTACCGTGCGGCAACATGGCTTAATCACTCTAATATTCACAAGCGTAGTCGCTCGAAACCCACCAATTATGGCTCAGTGGTCCTGCTCCTTCTGCACTAAAAGGTGATGGAGACAGTCATCGCTTAGTCTTTAGTAGATCAGCTAAAAGGCCACGTCTTAACACCCGAGCAACACAGTTTCTGCCAGCACCTTTCATGCACTACCCAACTACTGTTTACACGTGGTAGTTGGACGGAAGCGGCCAATGAAGGCATAGGGATGGACTTCATTCAACTCGACTTCTCCAAAGCCTTCGACTGACTGGAGCACAGCATACGGCTTCACAGGCTCGAAAGCTACGAATTTGGTGATCCCGTAGTTGGGTGCATGTCGTGTCGGAGCTTCGCAACTGCTTCCACCCGCTAACGGTTGTGAGAACACGAACGACCGCGTAGAAAACATCTTTCACGCGACACACCAAACCGGCCACCAAGCGTCTGTGAATTCAAATCCACGGCAGAATTCAAATCAGGGCATATACAAAGGCTATGCAGAGAGCCTGATATTCGTTCAATCAAGGTTGGTCATTCCAGGGGCGAAGGATCGATACGGTGCCTCACGAACGAGCGAAATGTACAGAGTATGGGAAAAGCCATTGAGCATAAGATTCAGTGTCAATACAAGCTATTCACGACTGCGAGGCAAAAGTAAACATATGTAAGGAAGCGTAAAATAGAGCGGGGTGAATAGGGGTGTGGAGCAAAACTCAAAAAACAGTAGGGAGTGATGGAGTATTCTTACCTCCGCTATAACAGTGGATCAGGAATTTCCTGCAGCATGGGAAACTGCAGGTCAGAGTTCGAAGTGCGCTGTCCTATCTGATTTATGTCGTATGGGGAGTTCCACGAGGATCAGTAATGGGGCCACGTCTGTTTCTCGTGTTCATTAACGAGCTTACGCGTCTGATTGCCTCGGATTTCTTGCTGTTCGCTGATGATGTTAAGATGCGACGGACGATCGCTGACCCAGCAGATCACGATGCACTTCAGCGTGACCGGAACTGAGCATACTTGTGGTCACTGCACAACCTGCTCCAGTGCAGTTCGGGGAAATGTAAGGTGATTCACATTCGCCACCAGTCGAACATCAAATACAAACTTGGAAACCATGTTATGCAGGCAGTCACCCAGGAGCGCGACCTTGGGGTACTAGTCCAGACGGATCTGGACTGCTCTGAACAATTTGAGAAAACGTCAAATACTTGGAACCAACACAATGGCATGCCGCGAAGTAAACTCAGGCGGTTTGATCCCTCTGTCTGTTCGCAGTTGCTTAATATCGACATGCAGCCTTATGTAGAA